AAATGAAGGTAAAATTATCTCTGGACCGCGAATATTTTCGCATATTAACTTTCGCTTGTAACACACATAATGAGTGAAGTATCGCCCCGCGGTAACGTAGAACAAATCGTCATATCATGAAACTACACCTGTACTTTCAATCCTTTATGACCGTACACAGTGCGTCTTAGCCGGCAAGTGAGCTAGGAGTCCCAGTTTAGACCTCTAGGGAGTTGCTCTGTGGTTTCTAATCTGTTGGGAAAGGGGTTAGCGAATAGATCATTGGGGTTGTAGGTTAACTTCACAAGCCCGCTACGTATGGCTTACCTGGTCGCCTTACCAGGCCCAGGAAGCAAGAACAGCCTACAACACCCGTGGCTTTACACCGAGCTTCAGGAAAATTAGGTTTACGATTAAGGTGAGCGTTAGGGTTAGGTTTAAAATTGGGATTAAGGTTTGGATTTCTTCTTCAATGAAAGTTCACTGATTGCTAATGGAACTTATTTGTTTTCCTTGTCTTTTTCGGCAATCTTCAAACGTTTGGGCTCGTGTTAACTGTGGAGTGTTGGTTTGGGGTAGGCCTAGGGTAACGATTAAGGCAACAGTTTAGCTTTATGTCAGGGATAGTGGTAGGGTGACCGCGCAGGGATATTTACCCTTCCTGAAATTTATTACAATGTCACAGCTTTTATGTGGGCGGGCGTTCCTACTCCCGTGTCTAGTTTGGGCTGCCATACAAGTAATCCTTTCCCTCAAGCTCTACTATTTCTGTGCCTAGAGCACCCTTTCCGTCAAAGTGTTTCCCTCTGTGTACTTTACAACAATTCATTCTTTTCTAGGCGCCGGCTAAATGCACTGCTCAATCAAAATGCCGAATACCTACAGTCCTTGCTGCTGGACCGGTTCAGTGACGAGTGGGAGGTTGACCCGAAGGACCTCACCTACGATGTGGACGGGGCCATCGGTCAGGGCAGTTTCGGCATGGTCTTCCGTGGCCGTCTCACTCGGCTCACAACTCCTGCCGCGGAGTACCTGCAGCTTCCATTGGCCGGCGCTGGTGGACCAGTTAGCTCGGGTGGTGGCGGTGGCGGCAACAAGGCCACCAAGCTGGAACGGTCTTCCAGTAACGCCGGCGAAACGACCACTGATAGGCGACATCGTCTCGCAAATCGCTACTCAAGTCTGCTGGCTGCCCTCCGTGGACATTTTTCACACCTCAAGAAGAAGACT